AAGTCATTCCCAAAGCCACCCACATTAAAACCCCTATCCGTGGAAAAACTATCTTCCCTGAAACTGGGCCCTGGTGCCAAAAAGGTTGGGGACTGCTGTCCTAAATAACCTAGCATGCCTGTGCGTCCTTTCTTTATACTTCTCTTTCCTCTCCTACACTCCGTGTGAGGTTATAATTCTCTCCTTCCTTCTTTTCTATAATATTTAATGAGCACTTACCATGTGTCAGGTATAATCCTAGATGTTGAAATTAGACATAATGAACAAAATAGGTGAAATTCCTTCTTGGAGTTTATAGTCTATGGGAGGAGCCAGATTGAACAAACAAACAGTAGTTAGAAGGTAACCAGGTGTGGTGGCACACACCTGTGATCCCAGCAATCCAGAAGGCTGAAGCAGAAGGACTGCAAATTCAAGCCCTGTTTAATCAATTTAGTAATTTAGGAGACCTTGTCTCAAAAAGTAAAAAGCAGGGCCGGGGATTTAGCTCAGTGGTGCCGGTGCCTGCCTCGAAAGCACAAGGTCCCAAGTTCGATCCCCGGTAGCGGGAAAAAAAAAAAAAAAGCAAAAAGGGCTGGGGATGTAGCTCAATGTGAATGTCCTGGCTTCAACTCCCAATACTGGGGGTGAGGGGTATGTTAGGAGGTGATAAATGCTATGGGGAAGAGGACGGCAGGAGAGGAAAGTGGGTAACGCCAGGGTGACCCACAGAGGCGGTGATGAGCAAAGGAGCCCTCTCCTGCCTGGCCAAGGTATCAGCCAGGCAAGGTCTGCCAGGATACAGAGGAGAGGGCAGTGAGTGACAGGCCAGGCTGTGGAGCCCTTGGGGTCACCACAAGAGCACTGGGTTTCTCCTGAGAGGGGAAACTTGGAAGGGTTGGGGCAGAGGAGGACACGGTCCTGGTGTGGCTTTTTTTTTTTTTTTTTTTTTTTTTTTGTACCAGGGATTGAATGGGACCTTGCACTTGCAAGGCAGGCACCAGAACCACTGAGCTAAATCCCCAGGCCCCTGGTGTGGCTTTTGACAAACTGACCCAATCTATACACTTATGGGGTGCAGTGACATTTCAGTTTGTGCCCATGGTGGGCTAAGGCTCAAGTCCAGGTAATTAGCATTTCTACCACTTCACATGTTTATTGTGCCTTTGCAGGCACAATCCAGTCTTCTGGTGATTTTGAAATATACACTGTTGTTAACTACAGTGCCCTCACTCCAGAATGCTTGAACTTACCCACTGACCAACCTCTCTAGTTTCTGATAACCAAAGCCAAAACAAAAGAAGTTGAGCTGATGCCTTTCCGAGAATGAATTTGGGACAGGGGAGGGCCGGGGACCCAGACAGGAATGGTGGAGTCTCCCCCAGGGAGGTGTTGGTGTCAGGAGTCAGAAAGAAGTGGTTGGATGCTGTATGGTTTGGTTTGAATTTTGAGATGGACTAAGTCACTAAGTTGTCCCAGCTGGGCTCAAACTTGCCATCCTCCTGCCTTAGTTTTCCAGAGTTCTGGGATTACAGGTGTGTGTCAGCCTGTCCAGTTTAGGCTCTGGTTTTAATTTGGAGAATTTCCTGTTGGACAGAGATACCACGTGTTAGATGGAGCTGCCAGAATTGACACAGGAAAGCAGATTCGTTTCAGTGGCCATGGTAATACTAGAGTTCCACAGGCCAGGTGTGGTGGCACACGCCTGTAATCCCAGCACTCAGGAGGCTGAGGCAGGAGGATCACCATGAGTTCGAGGCTAGCCTGAGCTACCTGGTGAGTTCAAGGGCAGGCTGAACTACATAGGGAGACCCTGTCTCAAAAATAAATAAATAGGGCCAGGGAATTAGCTCAGTGGCACAGCTCTTGCCTGACAAGCACGAGGTCCTGAGTTCAATCCCCAGTACCAAAATAAATAAATAAAGTCCCACAAACTGGGTAGCTTACAAGAGATTTTCACACTCCTCAGGAGGCCAGAAAGCTGAGATCCAGATATTGATGGTGTTGGTCCTTCTAGATGCTTGAACGGGACCCTCCCCCAGCTCCCAGTGTTTGCCTCTAGCCCTGGCATCTCTTGGTTTATGTGACCATTAATCCCAATGTCAATGGACTGGATTAAGAGACCCCATGGAGATTATACAGCACACTTCTGAGTATGTCTGGGTGGTCCATGGAGGTGTAGCCTTGGGGTCTATATCTGGTCCCTGGCTCCTTCCTCTCTGGCACTGTTCCCCAGTTCTGCTTCCTGGTTTCCACGAACTAAACTTCTTTGATCCCCCATGCCCTTCCGTCATGATGTCCTGCCTTGGAGCTTGGTGACCATGGACTGAATCCCCAGAAACCTTGAACCAAATAAACTGCTCCTGCTTCCCATTGTCGTGTCAGGTGTTGTGTCCCACTGAGAGGAAAGCTGAGGAACGCACCTTACTCCCATCTCTTCCTCCACTGTTACATGGTTGTCTACTCTACATATGAATCTGTGTCCAAACACACCTCTCTTCCCATAAAGACATTTGTTATTGGGCTGGGGTCCATCCTAATTGGAACTAATTTAACTTGATTACATCTGCAAAGACCCTAGGTCCACACAGCCCCAAGTTCCAGATGGACATGTAGTTGGCATAGACACTATTCAGCCGTCTGTGTTTGTCCATATTTTGATTGAGGCACACTTTAACCATATCAGGCTTGAAATTACAGGATCCTCCTAAGATACCCAGTCCTCTACAGGGTAGGGGGAATCCCACTGACTGTTTATAAGGCTTCCTAAAGGTAAATATGTTTTGTTGTGTTGTGTTGTGATTTGATTTTTGAGACAGGATGTCACTAAGTTGCCCAGGCTGGGCTCAAACTTTCATCCTCTGGCCTCAGCCTCCCAGCGTGCTGGGATTACAGGCGTGTGCCACCACATCTGGCTGGAAAATATGCTTATTAGTGTGAGTATAATTACATCAGTTGGGGCTGGGGGTGTAGTTCAGTGGAAGAGCATGTTCTTAGCATGGGCAAAGCCTTGGGTTCCATCCCCAATACAAAAAAATTAAAATAAAATAAATTGATTCTCTTGTGACTCCATTGTGGTCATGGGAACCACATTTTTAAAAAAATATTATTTTATTGGTACATTTTAGGTATACAGTATAATGACATTCATCATTGGAAATTTGTACCTCTACATAATCTCTCTTGGTTCTTATTTTCCCCATTCCCCTGCCCTCCCTTCAACC